AGCTATCTTATAGATTTAAATGCACAACAAACAATAAACCTGGGAATAGATATTAAGGTTCCCCTCAAGGTAATAAGTTTAACCTTTAGAAAAACAGATTAAGCAATCTACAATCACTTCACTTTGCGCAAAATAGTTTAACTTACATCATATTGATAATTCTTTGCTGCAAATCAGGCTGTCAGTGGATTCTCCAATCAACTGTGTCCATGGTGGGCTAGCACTAGGCCTCCGGTTGTTGATATGCATTATATTTTGAAAAAAAACCCCTACATAGAGAAGACTATCAGATCCTAAATTTAAACCATATTTGGAGGGAAAATTCTTCAATTGAAAACAAATTCAGTATAATCTCAAGTTACAAAATTGGATTGAATTCAACCAAAGTTGGATAATTCAAACAGAACTAAGAGGAAAATCTAAGACAGGCATAAAAAAACCCAGAACTGCCTGGCAGTCCTTACAACATCCATAGAAATCTATACATAGAAAATTACTTTGGTGAGATATACATTGATTTCAATAATTGATATTAAATTAATACTGATCTCAAGTATTATAGGTGTGATTGTTTTAGTGTTTAGAAGGTAGCTACTTGTTGGTGGCTCCTAAACAACTATTTAAAGGTATTTTGCTAAGTTTTTTAATAAGAAGATGTGAATCAATTAACAATTATTGAGAATATAAACGGTTACAAAATAAACAATTACCAAAATTAATTGTTTGAGTTAAACCCTATTTTAATTTTTTTTATCCTCTTTTATTTGTCCTAGTATAACCCTAACAATGGCTTAATTCAAAAAATCATCTACTAACTTTCAGTTTAATTTTATTTTAGTTTAGAAAGTTTGTTTCATTTCTAAATAGTCTAGAAACTTTGAAGAATATTTCAAATTAGTCTACCGTACAAAGATGACATTAGATTGCTGTTAAATTTGAGGAAAGAGCAGTCCTTTGAGTTTTAAAAAAGTGACACTTAAATCTTAATAAAATATGATGAATAAAAAAATAGTTTATAAATATAGATTGTAATTCAAACAGAGAAATTCAGTAAGTTTAAAATAAAAAATTTTAAAAGTAAGTCTGTTTTATAAGACAGACTGTATACAATCTGTTTTATAAAATTATTTAAATGTTTATGAAAAAATAATATAAAAATAGAATTAAGTGTATTTAAATAATTTTACAGGGTGGACTGAATGCAGTCTGCTCTGTAAAACAATTTTCTGAAAAATACATTTAGCAAAATAAAAATAAAAACTATTTTTACTGTGAATATATATTTAAGGACTAAAAAATTAAAAGAAACATAGTTAGAGTATAACGTTTAAGAAGATTTCCGTTAAGATTTTCTGTTATCTTTAATTGTCTAGATAAAATTGAAATAA